CAGAATCGCCTCAACACGACGGCAAAACACGGGAAGCAATAGTCTACTGATGGGAGGATTCCGAATGTCCTTCTGTACGGGGGCCTGATTAATGGTAAGATAGCGACCTTATCTGCGCCTGAAGGACATCTGCAAAGGGGACATGAGGGCGATGGACATGGGTATCGAGAGGTGGAGAAGACGTCGCCAAAGACGCGATTTACACCGATGGCTGGAGACGCGATTTACCCTTGAGGAGAGAATAAACGGAGGCTTGTCGTCGGGAAGAAGCGCGCTCGAAGGTTAGAAAACAACAGGGCAAAATCGGGGTAGAGCTTCTTGACACGCATTCGTTGCAATCAAACTGTCACTCCCGTGTGAGCATGTAGAGCTGCTGTGCCTCCATCAGCATAACTTTAGGGGCGCAGATCTGTGGCCCCACGAAACTGACAGATGACACACACATGGATCATACAAAAGCGTTTGATAAAGTACTTAACAAAGAATCGTTGGAACCGTGACGTAATCTTGACATATTTAGAAAGGATATTAGATTAATCCAGAAATAATGCTGGCAGCAAACCGCCTGCATACGGATAGAAAATGAGTTTAGCAAATATACAGAACTAGAAAGAGCTCTATGAACAATGATATGTATTCTCACTGGACTTATTCAACCTATATTGGACGCTATCTTTCCCTTGGACAACATAGGTGGCGTGAAGAGGAGAAACGTCCGGTAGGATTAACCGCCGATATCTCATAAAAAACCCTTGCTCGGGCCTGCGCCCTGGAGAAGACACTCCAGCGTCGCCTCAATACGACGGAAAAAACACGGGAAGCAATAGTCTACTGATGGGAGGATTCCGAATGTCCTTCTGTACGGGGGCCTGATTAATGGGGAGACAGCGACCTTATCTGCGCCTGAAGGACATCTGCAAATGGGACATGAGGGCGATGGACATGGACATCGAGAGGTGGAGAAGACGTCGCCAAAGACGCGATTTACACCGATGGCTGGAGACGCGATTTACCCTTGACGGGAGAAGAAACGAAGGCTTGTTGTCAGGAAGAAGCGTGCTCGAAAGTTAGAAAACAACACGGCAACATCGAGGTAGAACGTCTTCACATGTATTCGTTGAAAATCGAAACTGTCACTCCCGAGTATGTATCTACAGACACTGTATCAGCATGACTTTGGGGGCGCAGATTTATCGTCTCACGAATCTGACAGATGCCTCATCTTCGCTTCAAGGACAGAATATGAGGGCGATAGACATCGGGAGGTAGGGAAGACGCCGCCAATGATTGCTCACGCTTGAGGCACGATTTACACCGACGGCTGGAGATGCGATTTACCCTTGAGGAGATAAGAAACGTTGGCTTGTCGTCGGGAAGAAGCATGCTCGAAGGTTAGAAAATAACACGTCAACATCGTGTTAGAGCGTCTTTACATACAT